CATATTGGCTGCATGCAGGATCCCTTCATCTGTTGGTGCTGATCTGATCTTTAGGGGCCCCAGCACCTTTTTGCATTCTAAATTAGCATTTTCAAAAGTTAGAGATTCAAGGAGCACTCAACTACCTTCTGGATCTGCTACCATTATTTATACTGCTTTAGTCAATCTTTGCAAAAGTTCACTGAAAGGTTCTTTTGGGCCTTGTATAACCTTAGTGTATGACTCAATTCTTTCCCCTGGTTCTTGACTCGTGTCCTAAGCATTCAAGACTGCTCTACAGCATAAGGACAAGATGTGTTCATCATATGTAGCTTGAGTATCTGCGTCAGCACAAAGACCCTCACTGGCCAGCACTCGGGAGGCAGAAGCAGGCAATTCTCTAAGTTCGAGGCCAACTTGATCTACAGAGCGAGTTCCAGAACAGACTCCAAAGCAATATAGAGAAACCCTGTCTTGAAAAACAACAACAACAAATGAAATAAAAAAATAAAGACCCTCACCAAGAATTTTATCTTGGGGAGCCTTATAACCTTTCTTTTTGCCTTGATGTTCAAGGTCTTTTGCCTCTTCTCTGCATAATGATTGCTACTTCATCTGTGGACCAAATTCTAGGACAGCTGAGACTAATTGGCTCCAGTCATTTGAGGTTATTCTATATCTTGTAGCCCATGACTCTACTATCTCACCTATAGTGAATGAATGCTACTGCTTTCTTAATACCTGTTAAGTCTTCCATACATACTGGCTGCCAATGACGCTGCATGCATCTCTCTGGATGTTTCTTATTTGCTGGCTTTTTGGTAATAGTAACAGGATTGACTAAAGCAGGTGATAATGCTATAACTTTTGGTAAGGCATCCCTGACCCTGAAAGATACTGGTAATATTAAATCCCCTTCATTTTATTGTATTTGTACCTCAGCTCCTGGTGTATCAGTTTGAAGGTTTTCTGTGGCCTGTAATCTATTCACCATTGTTTCTCTGAGTGTTTGAATTTCCTGGACAGTATAAACTTCCAACAATTACTTTAAATCTGTCAGTTTCTTGTTCTCTTCATTCATATATGATTCTAGAGATTTAATGTTAAATTCTCATCCTTAGTGATTATGTGGATGGCATGTAGATTGCCTTCCAAAAACAATGTTTTTTTTTTAAGTTTATTTTATGTGTATTGGTATTTTGCCTACATGTCTGTGGGTGTCAGATCCCTTGGAACTGGAGTTACAGACAGTTCTGAGTTGTCATGTTGGTGCTGGGAATTGAACTCTGGTCCTCTGGAAGGACAACCAGTGCTCTTATCCTCTGAGCTATCTCTCCAGGCCCCCAAAACAGTGTTTTATCTGCTAGCTTGTCATTAATCTCAGACATGGAGCAAATTTTTTTCTGTTAGCAGTTCAATACTATGTTGTATTTTTTGCATTTTGTTTGTGGAATCATCATTGCCATTTTCAATGTTATTAATCCTTTTCACTAAGTTCTCATTACCAGTCTATAAAGCCTGTATGATTTCTTTATTATGTTCCTCATTCTTTGCTCTATTATGAAACAATTTCTTTAAGGATATTATATTGATTATCAAGCTAATAGAAACTATGGCTGATAGTAAATATGTTCCAGGTAGGTCTTAAACCTTTTCTAAAATCCCATCCTTATAAGAAATGAGAAGACTTTTTACTTCCACTTTTTATCTGCCACTGGTGTAGAGTAGTTAATTGTATATATTTATGTATTTATCTTAAATTGCAAAAGATACAGTACTATACCTCAAGTAAAATCCCGGAAGGTGAGGTCTGGATGCTCTCTGGCTCGCTCGTCGATCTTAATCTGCAGTAACTATGTTTGGCCAGCAGGTGTACGCTGAAGTGAGTCCAGAGGCAAAGGCGCTCCGGTCTTTCTTGTACTTGTATTACAGTATACAGTTTCTTTCTAAACAACACTCAACACACCCAAACCAAATGAATTTTTGTTAGAAGAGAAGAGATTCAGTCTGTGCAAACCCCCGGTGGTTCTGATCCAGCGTAGCTGAGCAGCTGTTTTAGCAGCTAGAAGCTCCTTCCGCTGCCATGGCTCAGGTAACCTTACAGCTGCAAACGCAAATTCACAGTGGAAACAAAAACTGCCGCTCCAGAAGCTCTGCAGATGCCTTCCACACTGATGTGCTGGACGATCCTCACAACATACAATTTCCCACTTGAGCTTAGCACACAAATCCCCACTCGCAGTCTGTAGAGAGATGCCTTTTTTCTTTTCTGCTGCTTTGGTTTTTTCCCCACTAGTAGCCTGGGCTCTGCCACGTTGTAGTCCCCAAATAAACACACAAGAGGCTATATTAATTATGAAGCTGTTGGCCTTGCTTGTTTCTTACTGGCTAGCTCTGACTTAAGTATTTATCCCATAATTGTTAATCTAAGTATTTCTCTTACCAGAGAAAAGTTTCCGGGCTTCTTACCCCATGGCGGTTACATCTTGACTCCCTGTGTTTCTCCTACCCAGAGTACTCCTCGACTCCTATATTGGCTAACAGTGCTTTATTGACATATACACAGACTTTCCATCATCTCCTCTTTTCTGCCTAAATAAAAGAAAGGTCTTAACTTTACCATAGTCAAATTATATATAACAGAACAGTTATCAAATAAGAACACAGTTACAATATTTTGTCTATCAACATTCAGCAAGATTTAAAGTAAATATCATCCATTCCATCCTTGTAAGTTCAAAGTTCGATATGTAGCTTATCTTTTATCATAACTAAGGAAAACTATAAACATGCACCGGAATGAAGCAGTTAGCAGACTTGGGCAGTGCAGTCTACTGAATTGTAGGTTGGCCCTTTTTGGAACCCCAGAATGCAGTGAGGCTGTCGTGCGGGCTGATTGTGGGAATACAACCGTGTGAGTGCCAGTTGAAGGCAGGGTATTAATGAGTTCACTACGCCCAAGATAAATGATAAACAGGTGTTTTATTGAGGAACACCGTATATAGGTAAAGAACCACTATGGCATTCCTGCTCCAGAAGATGCAGTCTCTGCCTTCTGATACGCTCTGCGACCCAAGAGAGAGAGCCTGCAGTGCTTCTGATACGCTCTGCAACCCAAGAGAGAGAGCCTGCAGTGCTTCTGATATGTTCTGCGACCCAAGAGAGAGAGAGAGCCTGCAGTGCTTCTGATATGCTCTGCGACCCAAGAAAGAGAGCCTGCAGTGCTTCTCTACCTTCTGGTCACTCCTGCACCTGAAGCCACGCCTGAAGGGTGTGGCCTTTAATACAGATATCCTGGCAAGGCAAAGTGTTACTACACTTCAGCTATATGATAATACTCAGGGCCTGCAGTGGTGGGCTGGCTGGGCTCTAGTGCAGACATAGTATCTTGGCTTTTATTGTGTTTTCACATGGCGTCTAGGTATCTGGGTTTGGGACGATTGTAATTCTAGGTGCTGATATCTGGTCTTAATGTTTGTTGGATGAATGTTTTGTCCTTTGCTTTCTGTTTCCCTCTCTAGTTCTTAGGAGAGTGTGGTGGCTGTGCATTGCCTGGTAGGAAATACTTGTGGAATACTGATAGGTGAGGCCACTGGAGTGCCAGGTAAATTGTGTTTCTGGGTGTTGGGTGCTGACACAGGAAAGGGATGGGGTAGGAGGGTGTTGTTGAGGGGTTCACAAGAGTGACGAGGGCAGGTGCTCCACTAGGATCTGCTTAGTGTCCTGGGCATAGGAACCGAGAGTGAGGAGACATCACAGGAAATACTCTGCTACTGAGCTGGGGGTGAGATTGGGACTGGACTTGGAGGAACGGAGGGAAAGGTAAAGATCGGCAGGTAGCCCACCTGTTTCACTATCCAGAGTGGCGTGGCGGTTTCCAGGGAAATCTCTCTGAGTTGTTGGCTGGGATAAATCAGTGAGTGGGAGAAGGGTTTGGAGTGTGGATCTGTGATTGTGATCTGAGATCGGGGCAGGAAGGAAGGGGAGTCCACAGCAGGTGGTCTGCTACAAAGCTGTGGAGGAGACTGTAACAAGAGGTTCTTTGTCCCGGCTGGTCCCACTGCCCCTTAGGCCTGAATGAACATACAGATGCTACTATATTAGTCATAAAACTATTGGCCGGTGGCTAGGGCTTCTTATTGGCTAGCTCTGCCTTAATTATTAACCCATTTCTATTAATCTATGTATTTCCATAGGGTCTTATCTTACCGGAGAAGGGTCCTGACCTGCTACTCCTTTATGGTCTTCATGGCGACTGTTCTTGTGGCCTCCCTGTGCCTACCTCTCCCAGAATTCTCCTCGTCTCCTAGTCCTGCCTGTCCTCCTACTCCATTGGCCAACAGTGTTTTATTCATCAGCCAATAATAGAAACATACATACAGAAGGCCTTCCCCGTCATGAGCCTAGGGAATTGGATGAGGAGGAGAGTGGGAAAGATAGAGAGCTGCAGTTAGCCTAGCTGCTCTCCTGATCGGAGATGCGTAGTCGTCTCTAAAACTATAAAGAATTCTCTCTCTTTCTGCTTTTCTTTTTTAAGCTTGTTTTTGTTTTTCTCAGGCAGAGTCTTACTATCTAGACAGTGATGGCCTGGAACTCATGCTGTTGGTACTACTGGATCCTTTTTCCTGGTGTTCAAACTGTGCCACCACCACCACCAACAGTTTCACCTCCTTTTTAAGAATTCAACTCATGCCAATTTTTTTAGTGTATGACACATTTTATACATTTGTGTGTTATACACTTTTTATCATGATTTGTTTCAAAAACCTTTATTTCAAGAAGCATATAAGATTATTTGATATTTGCTTGTTATAATCTCATTAACTCATTTCTTCCCTATTTCCAGCCTGTTTTTCTGTGAAGAGTATTGTCTCACATAAACTTTATTATTGCCGCTCTGTTTGCTCCTGTTCATCTTCTCTGACATTACTTTAGAGTCTGGCCTTTCCTTTAATAGATTTTATGTTACAGGAAAATGTGTTTGTGTTTCAGGAAAATAATACAGTCTTCTTTCCTTTCAGATTTGGAGTCATGTTATGAAGCTGAAAATGCATCTCAAGAAAATCATATTTATAATAGAAATTTGTTCAAGCAAAGCATAAGGAACTTAAGCAAAACTTTTGGCCTCAAGGCATCCAGTTTTAGTAATGGCCCCAACTATAGTACATCCAAGGAACTACCGAGTTATCAAGGAGATGGTTATCAAAAAATTAGTAACAAAGAAAAACTACTTACTGATACCTTCCAGACTCTTGCTCACAATATAGAAAAACCGTATGAATGTAAACAGTGTGGGAAATACTTCAGTTGTAGTTCAAATCTTAGTCAGCATCAGAGTATTCATACTGGAGAGAAACCCTATGAATGTAAGGAATGTGGAAAAACCTTTAGACTTCCCCAACATTTTGCAAGACATCAGAAGTCTCACAGTGGTAAGAGACCTTTTGAATGTGATGAGTGTGGAAAGGGTTTTCAACTTCCTAGTGTGCTTAAGTACCATAAAACCATTCATACAGGTATAAAACCATTTGAATGTGAGGAATGCGGGAAGTCCTTCAAGCGATTCTCCCACCTCGCTGAACATAGGATCATTCATGCTGATGTGAAACCGTATGAATGTAATGAGTGTGGGAAAGCCTTTAGTCGTCGCTCAAACCTCATGCAACATCAGAAAATTCATTCTGGCGAGAGACCCTTTCAGTGTAAGGAATGTGGGAAGGCCTTCACTGTTCTGGCACACCTCACTCGGCACCAGAACATTCATAGTGGAGAGAAATCTTTTGAATGTAAGGAATGTGGGAAGATATTCAGTTGTGGGTCATTCCTTCTGCAGCACCAGAGTATTCATACTGGGGAGAAACCCTTTGAGTGTAATGTGTGTGGGAAGGCTTTTAGGCTTCAGGTATACCTTTCTGAGCATATGAAAACTCACACTGGTGAGAAACCTTTCAAGTGCATGCTTTGTGGTTTAGCCTTCAGACGTAAGTACCAGCTTAGTGAACATCAGAGAATCCATACTGATGAGAAACCCTATCAGTGCAAGGAATGTGGCAAACTCTTTCGTCATCATTCAAATTTAATTGACCATCAGAGTATCCACACTGGAAAGAAACCCTTTGAGTGTAAAGACTGTGGGAAAGTCTTTAGACTTAATATTCATCTCATACGACATCAGAGGTTACATAGTGGTGAGAGACCTTTCGAATGTAAAGAATGTGGAAAGGCTTTTCATCTTCCCAGCCAGCTCAATTACCATAAAATTGTTCATACAAGCATAAAACCCTTTGAATGTGAAGAATGTGGGAAGTCCTTCAAGCATGTGTCCACCCTTGTCCAACATAGGATCATTCATGCTGATGTGAAACCGTATGAATGTAATGAGTGTGGGAAAGCCTTTAGTCGTCGCTCAAACCTCATGCAACATCAGAAAATTCATTCTGGTGAGAGACCCTTTCAGTGTAAGGATTGTGGGAAGGCCTTCACTGTCCTGGCACTGCTCACTCGGCACCAGAACATTCATAGTGGAGAGAAATCTTTTGAATGTAAGGAATGTGGGAAGATATTCAGTTGTGGGTCATTCCTTCTGCAACACCAGAGTATTCATACTGGGGAGAAACCCTTTGAGTGTAATGTATGTGGGAAGGCTTTTAGGCTTCAGGTATACCTTTCTGAGCATATGAAAACTCACACTGGTGAGAAACCTTTCAAGTGTAAGCTCTGTGGGTCAGCCTTCAGACGTAAGTACCAACTTAATGAACACCAGAGAATCCATACTGATGAGAAACCATATCAGTGCAACGAATGTGGGAAATATTTTCGTCGACGTTCAAATTTTACTGAACATCAGAGTATCCACACTGGAAAGAAACCCTTTGAGTGTAAGGAATGTGGTAAAGCCTTTAGACTTAATATACATCTCATTCGACATCAGAGATTTCATAGTGGTGAGAAGCCTTTTGAATGTGATGAGTGTGGAAGGACTTTTCATCTTCCCAGCCAGCTTAATTACCATAAAACCATTCTTCACACTGCTCAAAAAATATTTGAATGTGAGGAATGTGGGAAGTCCTTCAAGCGATTCTCCAGCCTTGTTGAACATAGGATCATTCATGCTGGTGTGAAACCGTATGATTGTAATGAGTGTGGGAAAGCCTTTAGTCGTCGCTCAAACCTCATGCAACATCAGAAAATTCATTCTGGCGAGAGACCCTTTCAGTGTAAGGAATGTGGGAAGGGCTTTACTCTTCTGGCACAGCTCACTCGGCACCAGAGCATTCATAGTGGAGAGAAATCATTTGAATGTGAGCAGTGTGGGTCAGCTTTCAGACTTAAGTCCCAACTCAGTCAACATCAGAGAATTCATACTGATGTGAAACTCTTTCAGTGCAAGGAGTGTGGAAAGGACTTTATTCATAGTACGGGCCTTCGAATTCACCAGAGAATCCACACTGGTGAAAAGCCCTTTAAATGTAAAGAATGTGGAGAAGCCTTTCAATATCATTACCAATTTCTTGGACACTTTAGAATTCATACTGGCAAGAATCCTTATGAATGTACTCAATGTGGGAAGTACTTTACGTGTGACAGAGACCTTAAGTTACACCAAAGAATTCATACTGTTGAGAAACTTTACCAGTGTTAAGAATGTGGGAAGGCCTTTGGTTGAAAATCCAGCTTGGTTTGAAATGCTAAAATTCATATTGGTAAGAAGCCAATGTAGTAAGCCCTTTTGTGATAATTCTACTTTAGCAGTGTATCTGAGAATTCACACTGGCGAGAAACCCTATGAATCTAAGAATGTGGGGAGATGTTTAGATTTAATTTTAGTCTTCATTGCACAGTGGAGAAGTCATGCTGGCATGAACCCTTATCACTGTAAAGAATGTGGAAAAACCTTACATTTGAGTCTTCATGAACATAAAGGAATCCATGTTGGTTTGAAACCCTCTGAATGGAAAGAATGTGGAAACTTATAGAATTAGCTCAGCTTTCAAACCTCAGAGAGTCCATATAGTTCCTCAGCTCTGTGAATGTGAAGAATGTGGGAAAGTCCTCTTTGTAAATGGTGAGCCAGCATTTTCAGGAGTCCTGTGCTTGCATGGAAGGAGGACACACCTTTGTATGAAAAGTTTACTGAACATCAGAGAACTCATATTGGCAAGACTGGGACTGAAAAGAATGTGGGAAGAACTTTATTCTGCCCTAGGATTTGGTCAACATCAGAGTATTCATGTATTCTTGATAATGAGAATGCAAGAAGTCTGTTGTTCAGAGGTGATATTCTGCTGAGAGTGTCAGGTAATGTTAGCCATCATGTTCTTGATTTACTCTCATCTCATTCTATAAACTTAATTTGTCAAATACTTTTCACACAGGTCAGCCAACTTTCGGAAACCAGTTACTGGAGCTAGGTTTATCTGAGGTTCCTTCCTTGTCACCATTAATGTTCTATGGCTCCCGTCATAATATCATAAATATACTGCATATTTACTTTCAGTTTGCATAATTTGTTAATGGCCAGCTCAGTACCAAAGTCATGAGAACATGGTAAGATTTTTCAAGAGTGTTTGGTTAATGCCTGTGTTCTGTAAAATAACTTTTACATTTTTCTCCCTTGGCATTACAGTAACTGATAGGACAGGCTGTTTGTATTTTACATAGTTTAGAAACCCCTCATGCATTCATCTACTAGAAAATTTTAAACACCTTCGTTCTGTATACATCTATTGTGCAAAAAGGAATATGAAAGGATTTGAATTGCAAATCCATTAAGTATTTGTGTGGAGATGTTTAAAAAACACAGATATTCCGACAGCCTCCAAAACAATACAGAGAAACCCTGTCTCGAAAAACCAAAAAAAAAAAAAAACAAAACAAAACAAAAAAACCACAGCTATTGATGAATAAGTACTTTCTAAAGGGGTTGAACCCATAAAATTTTCATAAGATAAAACCCTATAATTTATGTACTTCTTCCACACAGTAAGATAAACTACATTTGTGACAGTGCAAGAACGTCCACAGCATCATCCATCTCTTATTCTTACTTGGCACTTCAGGTTTTGATAGAATTTGATTTCCTTGATGGTGAATCTCATGGAAAATTACCCAACTCTATTCAGGGAACCTGAGGTCAAATTGCCCCTGATAATTTACCTGGCTTCTTTTAAAGAGCCTATGTGTGCAAACCTTCCCCTCCAGCTACTGCTTATCTTGGCTACTGTTAAACTGTCTCCCTGGGCAAAAGCTCCCCCTCCAGCTGCAGAGCAAGATTAGAGGAGATTGGATTTGCTCTAAGTGGTTGTGACTACACTTAGGTCCTGAGTATCTGAGTGTGGTCCCAGCTGACTGAAATAAATACTTTTAGTTGTATATAAACACTTTCTGAGTGGTCTTCCCTGGTGGGCTCCCCATTACATATTAGCAAAAGTTGCCAATACATTTGTGAACCAGGCAGTTGTGGCACACAGCTATAATCCCAGCACTTGGGAGGTAGAGGCAGGTGGATTTCTATGAATTTGAGGCCAGCTTTGTCTACAGAGTGAGTTCCAGGACAGCCAGAAACCCTGTCTTGATCCTCCATCATAAATGTCTGAAAACTTTCATACATATGGAAAAGTTGGAGTAGTAAACAATACATTTCTGGATCATCATCTAGATTGGAAATTGTTATCAATTTCCTGTGTTGATGCTTTGTTCTGTATATATGGGTATTTGGGGTGTAACATTAAGAATGGTTTAGACATGGGTATAGTAGTGCATGCCTAGTAATTAGAAGGCTGATACCGGAAGATCAGGAGTTAGAAGTAAGCCAAGCTATGTAATAACTTCAAGTCCAACTTTGACTGTATAGACACCCTTTATCAAGAGAAAATATGTTGTAGACATGACATTTCATACCTTACTACATCAGCCAAGATAGAATACCACAAAGCCATAATTAAGGAAATGATCCAGAATTTTATGACATTCATAAAATTTTCATTGGCCTTCAAACTGTCCTTTTTACAAAAAAAATTTTTCACATGCATATCCCTAAGGAGAATCCAATAGAGGTAGACATTTGGCCTTGCTTTGTCCTTTATTAAATTTTCAGTGCTGATTTAACCCAGTACCAGGTTCTCTGGCAGGTAGAGCTGAGGGAGAACTGGTCCCACTGGTCATTCCCTGGGACTGAGCAGGATGAGGAGTGTCGATGACTTGGACCTCCTCTCACCTAGCTACCAGGGAGAAACTGAGTAGGGAGACTTGTCAAAGCAGGTCTCAATTTATTACAACAGGCAGGAGCTTATATAGGGTTTAGGTAGGGGACTATTAAGATCAGGTAACGCTATATGAGGACCAATAATATTCCACCAAGCTGGCAGGTAACTAGGCAGGGTACATGAGGCCTTGCTGAGTCACCTTTATGTGGAGGTTACAAGCCAGAAACCGGTTGCCAAACTCAGGAGGTTACACTGGGCTTCACAGCCAAGCCTTTTTAGGCCAAGCAACCCAGGGCCTTGTGGGTGGTAGGAATGTATTCGGTCATCAAGCAATATTCCCAGCCCATAGTCATTGTACTTCTATCCAAGGAAAATTATGTTCAGGGTGAGCATTTTGAGCAAGAACACATTGAGATTGTAAACCATGTTGGGACAAGTGCAGAAATGTGTTCACTATCATGTTGGTGAAATTAAGCTTAGTCATTTTGGTAAGGTAGTAGGCACAATTTAATCTTGGTTAAATATAAATAAAAATTGAAATCAGCTTCTAAATAGCTTAATAATGTTAACATAATAAAAGTTGTGTGGTGTAACTGAAGCTGTACTCGGTACAAATTTCTTTGTTTATGTCTTCATGAAGTGACCTGTGTAATTGGAAAACTCAAAACCCACCATTCTCTGAAAAGTGTACTGGGTGAGGGTTGGGGTTCTAAGAGATGCTGATGAATGATGTAGCCGGGATTTTTTCCTTTTGTCCAACACTGACCAATTTTCTCTAGACATTCTTTAGAAGAATTAATGGCAACTGCTAAAAAAAAATTGCCCTTTTCACCCTGTTGTCCCTATATTTTAGAAAAAAAATTATAAAATTTAGATGGATTTAATGGCCCCAGTTCCTGGAAGTTACTCAAATGGTGTTTAACAACGTGAAACTGATTGGGAGAGAAGACCTTTTACATAAAATGAAAACTATCACCTTTATTGATGAGATTCAGTTAGACTACAGATACCTAGCAAAATGTTGGTGTTTGCCCTCCCTCTATCAGAAGAATATGCCCTAACTGGAATGCCTACCCCCAGTCAAAGGATACAGTTGGTCTATATTTCAGATTGACAATAAAGTTTCCTAGGGCTGAGGGCAAAAACCAACCCTTCAAGATTGACCTAACACAAAGTTCAACTAACCAATTCAGCTACTCCTGACCAGATTAAACAATATCCAGTGACCCTTAAAACAAAAAGGGAAATTGCAGCCTATATTGCCTAGCTTAGAAAGACCCGCATGGAATACACCTCTCAAGTCTGTGAAGAAATCTGGGATCTCTGATTATAGACTTGTCCAAAATCTGAAAAATAAAATAAAAATGAGAGCTGATATTATCCACCCCATCCACTCCTCCTAAGTCTGACTCTTTCAGAGAAACAAGTCTACAATGTCTTAGATCTGAAAGATGCATTCTTCAGCCTCCTAATGGCAGTGGGGAGTCAACTCATATTTGCTTTTGAATGGACAGACCCAAGTAAGGTTTCAGAGGGAATCTAACCTGGACCAGGTTGCCCCAAAGATTTAAAAATTCTCCAACCCTGTTTGATGGGACACTGAGTGCTGACCTCTTGCCCTCCATCAGAGGTTTCCTGGAACCATACTCATAATATATAGATGACCCCTGCCTCTAAAACTGTAATAGATTATAAAGAACCACCAAAGGACTGTAAGGGTTAAAGACTAGCAGCTATAATGTCACCTCAGAAAGTCCCATTTTTTACATCAATGAATACCTGATGAGGAGAGGCAAAAGAGCCTGTCTCAGCCAGGCGTTGGTGGTGCACGCCTTTAATCCAAGCACTCGGGAGGCAGAGGCAGGTGGATCTCTGTGAGTTCCAGGCCAGCCTGGTCTACAGAGCGAGTTCCAGGACAGCCTCCAAAACAGTACAGAGAAACCCTGTCTCGGGGAAAAAAAAAAAAAAAAAAGAGCCTGTCTCAGAGTAGAATTGCTGCCATCCTTCAGATCCCAACACCAAAGACTAAGGCATGTCTGAGAATTCCCAGATGCAGGTAGGTATTTCTGACTCAGGATTCTAGAGTTCGTGGGAATAGCAAGGCTTTTATATGCCTGGATTGAAACTAAATAAAGGGCATTTGAAGCTTTAAAATCTCAATCAGCTCTAGCCCTAGCATTCCAGATATCTTGAACCCTTTTTTCTGTTTCTCCATGAAGCCAAACCAAATAATAATAATAATAAAAGGGTTTATACCAAAAGTTGGGACCATGAAGAAGTCCTATGGCATACCTGTCCAAACAATTGGCTCCTGTAGGCACAGGATGACCCATCTGTCTTAAGAGCTATGACAGGAACTATTAGTCTACTGAGAAAAGCAAATGAATTCACTCTAAGTCAGGATCTTAGAACACCAAGCAATAGAGGACCCCTCTGAGGAATGATAAAATGCTGGCTGTCTGATGCCTGCATGACCCAGTACCAGACCCTACTGCTAGACACCCTGATATTAATGCTGAGACCTTACCTAATGAAGACCTGAAGGTGTTTATCCATGACTATCTCAAGATGACATTCCACTGAAAGATTTCTATGCAATGCTCTCCATGGATGGGAGCAGTTTCATTAAAGATGAAACCAGGTATGTGGGGCCTTAAATAGTTACTTTAACTGAAATGATTGGGGTCCAAGCCTTAGGGCCAGGGACCTCAACCCAGAGAACAGAGCTGATTGATCTGACCCAGGCTCTCAGATGGGAAAAAGAAAAGTCCACCGACATATAGACCATCACTATACCCTTACTAAAATGCATATCAATATTACCTATAGAGAAAGAGAGTCTTCAGTGTTGGGGAAAAGGACATTAAAAACAAAGAGAATCTTGGCCCTCCTACAGGCTATTTTACTTTACCTGTGAGTATCTATGCTCCACTGCCTGTGGAAAAGGACATTAAAAACAAAGATAGAATCTTAGCCTTCCTAGAGGCTATTTGACTTTACCTATGAGTGGCTATGCTTCACTCCCTAGGCCATCAAAAAAATTTCTGGCCCATGGGAAACAGAAAATCAAGGTACTCAGGCTGTGCCACAGGAAGGAACCCTTGAGATTTATTTACCATCCTGATTATACTGTCCCGTCAGGGTCCTCCGGCCATCAGCCAGATATGGCTGCCTCACATACTCATAAGAAAAGATGTGCCTCAACCCTCATAGAAAGTACGTGACTCTGGACCACCCTACTACCTTTGGAAAATTCCAGAAACATGACTGCAGCTTAATTAGCAGTTAAAGATTAGCTCAACAGAAAGCCCCCAATTCCGCCAGTAGTTAGGTGAGGACATAGGAAAAATGGAGACAGATAAAGTAAGAACCTACGGTCAGGTTGCCTAGCAACACAGGAGTTTCTACCCCCGACCTTTTGCCCTGTGAACTACGGTTCCAGGCAACACAGAGGGTTACCCCTCAAACTGACCTGCTCTGCCAGACTCATTGCAGCTGCAGGACACTCCCATTCCTTCCCCTCCTCCTTCCCCTATATAAATCCCTTTGGGGTGAAATAAAGTTGTCGCCTTGATCAGAATCCTGTCTTGGCGCCCATTCTTCATATCTTCTGCCCTCACCTTTACCCTAGGTACCCTCCAGACCCACGTTGAATGTCCCATGGGTCAGGGCATTATTGGCACCCACGTGGCCTGTGGCCTGAAGTCTGACAATTGGGAAAGACGCCATTCACTGGAAAGAAGGGCCCTTCGAGAGTGTCTCCCAGGGCACCGTCTTCATTTCGGTAATCCGCCGAAAAGAGCAAGTTGGATGGTGGTGAGCAGCGGCGAAGATCTCGTGGCCAATGTGAGTGATGGGACAGGCATTCTCTCAAAGGTCTCTCTTTATTTCCGGGCTCAAGGAAGCCCAAGATAGGAGGAATTAGAGTGAAAACGCAGGATCCTGTACAATGCTTTAATTTTGTGACTACTGTTTATCCTTGGCTCCCTGAGGAGAGAACCATTGATGAAAAGACCTGGCGCAGGGTTGGTGACTGCTTCCAAGATTATTATAGGGTGTTTGGTCTGAAAAAAATCCCTGTCAGCACCTTCAATTATTGAAACCTAATTCAGGGCATCCTTAAAACAACCTCACAATGGCTGGACCTTCAAAAACTAGTGTCAGAGGGAGAACATTCTCTTAAAGATGCCTCATCTTGGCCCCCATCTGCGGCCAGAACTTCTTCCCTCGAGGAAGAACCCCTACGCCCTATTAGTGGGTCTCCTTCCTCTCCCTCAGTCATTATTAATATGGAGAAGGAGGCCCCAGAGGAGAATCCTCCTTGCCTCAATGCTATCCCACCTCGTAAGATTTACCCATCCTTTCCTCCTTAAAAAAGGGAGTCCCTATGAAAGGTTCAGATAATCATTCAGTTGGAGAGGCAGCTGACCTCCAAGAGGAGGCGGCCAGGTTTGAGTCAGATCTGAACCTCCACCCCAGGTGGCCACTAACCCATTTGCCTCAGCTCCTCAACTGCCCTTTCCCCCTGCACCCCTTTCTCTCTCTGACTTCCCACCTTTTCGGCTCCCTCCCCCCTATTCTGCCCTTGATGAGATTGTTGGATCCCCTGTTGTGACTGCAGCACAAGAGTCACGTCAGAGCTAGTTTCCCTTAAAAAACTTGTGGAAAATCGACAGGAACAGGTCAATCTGATAAGAGCTTTGCAGCGCTAGAAACAGAATTAAACGAACGCTCTCTTCCCTGCCCCTCAAAAGCAAAACCAAAATCAAAACAGCCAGTTTTAGCATTCCCCCTTTCCCTTCCCAGTGGCAGTAACGCGCCCTGCAACTCCCCCACAGAATCGCAGATTCTGTCCACGCAGACCCCGTGGATGAGGAGGCAGACTCCGGAGCCTGCTCTGGAGGGGGGAGAAGCCCAGGCAGCACCAGCCGAACGGGAGGTCTGTTTAGAACCAGCTTCACGCTACACTTACCGCCGCATTGACATTAAGATATTGGAAAAATTAAAGTCTGCAGTGTCCTCTTACGGGCCCATGGCTCCATTTACTCTGGCTCCCCTAGAGTCCTTCTCAGAAGGGTGGCTTACCTCTGAGGAATTCACCCAATTAGCCCAGGCTTCTCTGTCAGGGGGGTGATTTTGTTATCTGGAAGTCCGAAATGACTGAGATCACAACAAAATAGAAACAAAAAATCGCACTCAGGCTGATACTGGCTCTTGGACCGCTGCCAGACTTTTAGGCAAACTGCCCAGATGCAGTTTTCACCGGATTGCTTGCTCAAGTTCACCATGTCTGCCTCACTGCTTGAAAACGGTTACCATCAGAATGTAATACCTCAGCCACCATAACTAAGATCGTTCAAGAGCCAGACGAATCCTTCAGTAGCTTCATTATCCGCCTTACAGAGGCCACAGAACGTCTGTTTGGTCCCCAAGATCCGGACATCTCCTTCCTCAAACAACTAGCCTTTGGAAATGCTAACCTTACTTGTCAGGATAAACTTAAACATCACTGTGCCAAGCCTCTGGCCCGGTATGTTTGCCTTCTCTCAAGTGCAGGAACCATGCCCTAGGCTTGGCTATCAGGGTGGCTATTGGGCA